AGTTTATTGCACAAACTTTCATAACTGAATCAATAAGCTGTCAGATCCTCATACATCGGGAGAGTCAATAATTATTATATATATACTGAAACTTCCTAATGAGAGAACTTAACAATTATGATAATGTTTGTCTACAAAATTCTGGTGTTGAGGTGCCATGTATATTGGAGGTGTTTTAACCGAGAACAGAAAGTGTGACACTGAAATCCAAAAAGGCATTGAGATACCCAAGGATGCATTCGAAAAGCTAAGCAAAGTATTAAAAAAACAGAAAAAATTGTTAGAAACAAAGAAAAGGGTACTGAGCTATTACATAATAACAATCCTTCTCACAGATGAAGAGAAGACTTAAGGTAACAGAAATGCAATTCTACAGGAAGATGCTGTGGATACTATGGATCATGTGACCAACTATGATGTTTTAGTGAAAATGCAAACAAAAAAGAAAACTAATACTTAACATCAGGAAGATATAGTTGAAATTTCTGTGACACAAGGAAAGAAGGAGTGGAAAATCTGATACTCACAAGACAGATTGAAGGCAAGAGAAATCAAGGAAAACAACACACAATTTACTTAGTAAATACATGGCAGAACAAGTTTTAGGAGAGATAATAAAAAGACAATTTATTAAGAGCTTCAAAGGACAGGAAGTTGTGGAGAGACATGATTGTGATATTGTGTTTTTCAGAATCTGTAAATGTCAATATTATCTCCAAATCAATCTATAATAACACACAAGACAGTTGTGTAGCTTAGAATGTTTTATTCAGCTTACAATGGTAATGGTAATTGTAATATTAACCATTTCCTTATAATGAAACATTCAGCATTTATTGCCCAAGCCACCAGTACTGCTGTTGCTTTAGTCCTGGGTATGACAATAAACTACATCCGGCAGCAAGGCCTCTGATCAGGAGATTAGAGGTTTTAAGGAGTGTAGAACCACCTCTTAATTGCTGTTGTCCCCAGGTCCACTCTGACCCATGGCGGTAGCACCTGTTAGGGTCACAGCTATGGGCAAATAGTGAACCCCAAACAAAATCCTATGAAAGTATAAAAATACCTATTTATTGTTAAATGACCAATAATACTACTTATAACAAAATGACCAACCATACCTATTTATAGCAAAATGACAAACAATATATTTTATCTGTAGTTAAAGGCATACAATTGCATTCATAATATTTAGATTCCAGCATTAAATAACCCGTAGAGATTGATATGCCACTAAACAAAATCAGTCAATCAACTACCATGAAAGAACTCTTTCATGATATCAATCCATATAATATCCTACAATTTCTTAAACTGTATTCCAAAAAATAATTTCATCAAAACTACAGCATAAAATGCACATATCACTGCCTCTAATAATTATGTCCACACAGACATGTATATGCACAAAAGCTGAGTATCATCTACCATGTATCCAACTGCGAAAGCAGAATAACATATATTTTTATTACTTCAAAGCTTCCAAGAAAATTAAATTTCAGCATTAAATTATCCATAAAGAGCTGATACACTGTCAAACAAACAACCTGTTGTCAGTAGAAATTCTTTCTCTCAAAACAATTTTTCAGAAAAATAGTTTTCTCAAGTCGCTGTTATAGCTCTTTTCATTTACAAATATAGATACTATTTATAGTGGTTTAGATTTGGAGAGTTCTTTAGTCAAGGAAGCTAATCTCCAACAAGGGCAATAACTTTGTCTTTATCTACCACACAATCATTATATGAAGAATGTGTAAACATTGTAATTCATTCATTTTATTATTAAAAATAATAATTATTATTATCATTCTTATTTTATTAAGTTTTTATTATAGGTTTAATTGTTTTGTATTATAATGCATTTTCATTAAACAAAACCCCTTAAACGTCAGGGTTAACACAAAAGATAATTGACATTTCTACCAGTCATGCTAGGACAGACCCCCTCAAATTGTTGCTTCCTCCAGCTTTGTTCTTTCATATTCAGTAACTTTCTCAGTATTTCAAAACCAAAACCTTTATTCCATCCATGGGGACAGAGTGTTCTCATTCAGTTTTCCATGTTTAGGAGAAATAACTCAGCATTCGAAAAATTATTATGTCCAAGAAATTATAATAATTCTCCAGATTTTGATTGACAATATAAAATTTGAAGAGATCTATAATTTTACTGCATAATATACCAACCCAAAACATTACTTCACTTATCTTCTGTTGTCTTCTAAGTCATGTTGGTTGACTATCCATGAAGAACTTAATTTCTAGCCCAGAAATCAGGTCCAACCAATGTAGCTCTATATTCATTACTAAAAAATTATTGTTAAAAAATTTCTCTTCTTCATCTTTAAAATTACTGCAAGTAATTTTATTGATTCCAAAGATCTTTGCTTAAATATTATTTTCCAATCTCATATATATCTTTTTTAATGATGGATCATATATTTTGTACAGGATTAATATCTGGGAATCTGGGAATCTGAGGTTCATTCCATTAATTTGATGTCCTTAAAAGTTTTTTTTTATCAAATTGTGTATTAGTTATCTTTGTAGAATACAAGTAAATATTTTGTTGTATGAACAGACTCTTTCATTTTAAATATCTTGATTGTGACCTGTACCATTCAAACGATATCTTATCCAAGAACTTTTCCAACTAATTTTCTGCAAACCTTGTCATCATTAACGTCAACGTTGATGGCACTTATAATTTTACTGCTTACAACATTAGCCCAAAACTTTAGGCCATCCCTCACCTGTTGTCTTCTAAGTTATGTTCGTAAACTATTTTCATAAAAGACACGTCTAGCCCAGGCATTATCTCTATCCAATATAGATCTATATGCATCAACTAAAATTACTGGGAAATCCATTTTTATGTACTTTTAACCTAACATACACATTTCTTTTTGTGATATTTACTTAAGGGTAGTAGTTTGGTTACTTTTGTTATAAATATGCATATGGTAGCACAAAACAAATGGGACAACAAGTAGTGCCAGTGAGTCAAAAAGTAAAAAAGATAAGAATTGTTAAGATAGCATTCTTTCTATTGCCAATATAGAGTATCATGGTGTAATATCTCCTTATGGGGGATGGAAGTGACTTGGAAGAAGACCAGAGTTGGTAGAGCCTGGAGTTGATGCATGTGTTGGATTGATTGACCAAAGTCACTGGTGGTGATTTTGACAGCTTTCTTGTTCACCACAACTGCCTACAGCAGCATTTCTCAACTATTACACCCATGTGCTCTGGAAGATAATCAGGTGTACCCCAATTTTTAAGAAGCTAGAGACACCAAGCCCATAGCTTCCATATCTGTGAAGCCATGTCATTTGATATTTTAAACTGGATACTAAATTCCTTAATCTTTAAGAAGGAATGGATAATCCTTTCCCTTTTGCCTCTCTCAAAGGATTTAAATCAGTCATTATTGGTCTCTCTAAAAGAATAGCAGATTCTTAGTAAATTCCTTTCAATGAAAACTGTACTGTTAACCATGGGGAGGCACGGTGGTGTAATGGATAGCGACTCAGATTGAGGAACTGGAGAGCTGAGTTCAAATTCCAGTCAAATCCATTACATTTACTTATGTGCTAATACCCTTGGGAAAGGTATGAATCCTCTTCTTCTTGCCCCAGCTATAGGTAAATAGCAGGACAGACTGGGTTCTATAGCCTTTGATGGCAACTGGTCTACCACAGGAAGAAATGGCAACCTACTATGGGAAAAAATCTGCTTTGTCAGTCATGTATTGAAAGATACATGATTGCCTAAGCATGTATCATGAATGGCACATAACTGACTGTTAACCTGAATGGAATGCTAAACCAAAATTTCATAATTTCAAATTTTGACTTGTTTTTCATTATTAAAATTTAAAGTGAGCCCCAGAGTTTTAGTTATTCTGCAATTGTTTCCCAAAGTAAAAAAGGTTAAGAAACTTTGGCCTACTGATAAAAACAGATGGGGTGGATTATGACTCATCGTTTTTTTCATATTCTTGATTTAGCAGCAACGTTCCTGAATGGCTCTTTTTATATTGTATATTTTTTTTAGGGGATTTATTTGATGAGTTGGATGTGATGCTCAAGGACTCTGCTCAGAAGGCAACATTTTTATTTTTGGTTTTGCTTTTTTAGCATTCACATCCAACCAATAAGTTTTGATGTAGAATGAATTTGAAGTAGAGTATAACACATTTATGTATTTAGCTAATGTTCTTAATATTCTGTATCTTTTCTCTCTGTTTAGAGTCACAGCACCATTTTATTGAAATATTTTCTCACTTATTTTGCTTATTACTCTTTTTGTAACATTCTTAAAGACAGTTTTTTTTTTCTTGTTCTTGCCTTGCCTGTTTACAATTTCATTTTCTTTTTTATTGTTCTCTGATCTCATCAATTGCAATGGTCGTTAGAAAAAGGGAACAGACCAACATGCAAATTACAAATTCAAGATACCAAAATCAAACAAGTACAACAATTTAAATAGCTTGCAAGTGTTTTAATGGAGGACAGGAAGTATGATATTGAAATCTGAATGTGCACTGAGATAGCGAAAGATGCTTTCCGAAACTTAAGCAAAGTATTAAGAATCAAAAAGTTTTTGCTAGAAACAAAGAAAAGAGCACTGAACTGTCATATCAGTCCTCCTATATGGCAGTGAATATGGGACAATCTTCTCACAGCTGAAGAAGAGACTTGAGGCAACAGAAATGAAGATCTACAGAAGAATGTTGAGAATACCATGGATGAGCATGTGAGCAATGAAGAAGTTTAAGAGAAAATGGAAACAAAAAGGATACTTAACATCAAAAAAATGAAAACAACAGTTGACATTTCTAAGGCACGTAATGAGGAAAGAGGATTTGAAAAATTTAATACTCATAGACAAAAGACAAAATTTATTAAAACCTACAAAGGAGAGGGAAATTCTGGTAAGCCATGATAGTCAATGACCTGAAGGAACATGGTACATAGTAGAAGAAGATATTCTGAAAGAACACTTGTTCTTGTATGATCACAAAAGTTAAGCAACATTGAGCCTGGTCAGTACTTAGATGGGTGACCCCTGTGGAATACAAGGTGCTCTAAGCTTGGATGTGTAGGTGGTGTAATAGACAATGGCTTGGAATTAGATAATAGAGTGCTGAATTCCATTTCCAATCAGGTTCACTATATTCATTTACATACAAATACTCTTGGGAAAGGTATGAATCCACCTACTCTCCCTCCAGCTGTAGGTTAATTAGTAGGATTTGCATTAGTAAACCATTGTTATCGCCAAAAAATTCTTACAATCTAAAAATATTTACTAGACTTAAATAATCTACAAAAGGTTGATAAACCGTAAAAAAAAACGTAAAAAAAATTATGAAAGTGTTACCAATATTACTTGTTCATTGTGGAAATGTTGATTTGCATGATAGAATTTGACATGGTGTAGAATCAACCATCCATATCATTGAACCATAAGAACTTACATAAGAATTATGCATTTATAGATAATCAATATTTATTTACTGATAAGTAAACATAGGTGACTTTGTTACTGTTTCAGTGTTTATTTACATAATATTATTTTGGAAGAGATGTAAATAAACCTGGAAATATCAACCAAACTTTCTTGTTTTAGAATATTGATTCCTTACCTGGTCACTTGTCAAAGCTTCCTTAATAATATTTTGCCTAAAAGATAAAATTGTTAGAGAAAAAAAGCAAACATTTGATATTTGATGTAATAAGGTTCAATCAATTATTAAATCATTTTGCTTCAAAATATCTTTGATTTTGTGAGGTAATAATTTACCAACATATTTATCTATAAAAGAACAGAGTTTAAAATAGGCTACAAATATTCTCATGATTAATAATGTTTTTCTAACAATATATAATTATTTCTCTCTCTCTCTCTCTCTCTCTATATATATATATATATATATATATATATATAAACAATATGTTCAAAGCTTTTGGGTTTAAATGATATATTCATTTTGTGTTTACTAATCATACTCAATTGGCTAAACCTTACAATTATGGAGTTTTTTCTTTATTGTAGACTTCCCCTCTCTCTCTCTCTCTCTCTCTCTTTCATCCCCACCTTCTTCCTCTTTCTCTCCTCCTCCTCTCTCTCTATCCAGTCTCCCCTCTCTCTTAGTTCTATTTTACCTTCTCTGCCTTTGTTATAAAAATATCATTGTCAGAAACTGGCCATTAGAGTAGCAAAAGGTCAGAGACAGAATGATCCTGAGCTAAGGGTTCCCCCAGGGATAAAACTCACTCAATATGATCACTCAACCATGGTCAGTTGTTGATGATCTAAATACAATTTAGCAAATACAAATTAACAGACCTTTTTTTTTTCCTTCTTTTTTTTTTTTTTAACCTTCCTTTCATTATTTTTTTTTTTTTTGTCATTTCCTCTATCCACCACAAACATCAAGAGAGAGAATAATTAAAGATTGATATGAACAAAAAGTATCCTGGGAATAATGACCATTGTGCTTTTCCCTGTCTTTTTTGCCTTTTTAGGGTTTTCTTTTATTCCTATCAGTTGTTCTTATAATGAGAATAAAAATGCATCAATTTTCACAAAGAATAAAACAGTTTTTGTTAATTAGAAATAATAGTATTTTCTCCATTTTAGTTTTTATTCAAAGACACATCATCAACTATTATCTTTACTAATTTATTATTAGTAAAAATTAATAATAGCAAGAACAATCATAACATTAGCAACAGTAATAATAATAATAACAGCAACAACAATAATAATAAAATTAACAATAAGAAGAAAAACAATTATAATAATACCAACAACAATAATGATAACAATAAAAAGAACAATAACACAACAATAATAATAACAATAATAATAACAATAATATCAATAATAATAATAGCAACAACAATAATAACAATAACAGCAACAATAATAGCAACAACAATAATAACAATAACAACAGCAACAATAATAATAACAATAATAGTAAGAATAACTGAAACAATAATAACAATGACAACAACAATAATAATAATGATTGACAATACTCTATTTAAAACTTCCACTACTATTGATGTACATTGCTTTCTGTTGATGTATAGTACATTTTTTTTTTAGATCTTTATGAAACTTAAATTGCCTGGTTTACTTTTTAACAAAGAAAAGAGAACTGAACTGTTACATGATATCTGTCCTGTATGGCAATGAATGCTGGACAATCTCCTCAACGATGAAGAACAGTCTTGAAGCAACTGAAATGTGGTTCTACAGAAAGATGCTGAGGATACCATGGACTGAACACTAGAAAAAAAAAGGAAACTTATACTTAACATCAGGAAGAGGCAGTTGAAATTTTTGGGGCATGTCATGAGGAAAGAGAGCTTGGAAAATCTGATACTCACAGGACAGATTAAAGTCAAGAGGGACAGAGGAAAACAGCACATAACATACTTGATGAATTTGAGCAGATGAATGGCAGAATGGGGTTTGGGAGAAATAACAAAAAAAGTAATCCTACTAAGAGATACAATGGACAGGAAGATGAGAAGAACCTAAACCCTGAAGGGACATACCACATAACAGAAAAAAATTGTGGTTCCCTATAGATTCTGTTCCTTTATTATTAGTGAACTGTTATAAATTCTTCAGAATAATATTAGAGTGGTAAATGTTTTTAATGCCATGTCCCTTCAGGACATAGGCGATCATGGCTCTCCACAGATTCCATCTATTCATTAACTGTGAATTATAATGCACTAGCAGTAGAGCCTGGCATTGCCCGGAGATGTAACAGTAAGAGATAGATCAAGTATCGACCATCATAAAGACTGAAAAATAAAATTGACAAAGATTATTGTTTAAGGTTGATGGACACGCATGTCTTAATTAGTTTTTTTTTGTTTTTTTGTTTTTTTTTACAAATTGGTCAAACTCAAACTCAAACAAAAACATTGTTTTCAATCGTTATGAGTCTACCATCCTCCACAAGCAGTTTTCCTTCTGTGAGAATGGTTGCCCAGGTTTCTCTTTTATTTAACCCATAGCAGGATTAGCAAAGACAGATACAAGCCTTTCACAGTAGTGATAAAATGTTGCATGACAATAAACATTAGGATGACCTACAATCCTTAGTTCTAACAGTTCAGACCTTTACTGCTAAGACACACCATGCTACGTACACAGGGTCAAAATTTTTCCCTCACTTCATATTAGCAAGAAGAAAATTCCACTCAACCAGCTTCTTTTTTAAGAACCACTAATTTGTGAAACAGACTCCCAAGAGGATGCTTCCCTAAGCATTACTTATTAACCTCTTCAAATCTAGGATTAACTGTTATCTATCCTACATATCCTCATAATCTGCACTTAATTCTTTCTGTTATATTGACACAAGCATCTCCTTCAGTAAACATCTACTTTCAGTGGTTCGTGGGTGTAAATAAAATTTATATGGTGTAGATATCTACACCATATAAATTTTAATTTGGAATATCTGCATAGTAAAACAGGTGCTACTTTGGTTTGCTATCTTTTTCTTTGTAGATAACAAGTCAAAGTACCAATATGTTTTATTACGTATATATTATTCCAAACTGACATTTATACAGTGTAGACATTTTAGCCAATGTACATGTTCTTTATTGCTAGAATATAAATAAAAGAAAAACTTTAATATTTTAATTACATTTTCTTTAAGTTATATATATATATGTTATAATATATTTGACTATGTAGATATCATTCCAAAATAAAATTTGTACCTTTTCCTTATAGATAACATGCCAAAGTAACACTGACAATACTTAGTTTCAGTGAGAAAATGAAAGTAAAATCTGGACTATTTTATTTTTGACCCTGTAGAAAGAGGAAAAAAGACACTATATGGCTTCAGTGAGAAAACAAAAAGAAAGAAAGAAAGAAAGATAGAAGTGTTTAATGACTGTTTCATTGAATTGGAAAATGTCAATTGCAAATCTCTTCATTTGTACCCACTTCTTAAAATAACAACCAACATTCATATTTATGATTGTTATTGAAATATTTTGTTAAAGTTGTTAAGCTCAAATGTTTATGATGCCATGATATAAGAATTAAGATTGATCAGAAAATTCAAATAAGAAACTGAAATGTTCATTGGTTAAAGCTAGTTGTTTTTATTTCCTATATTTGTTCAAATCATATTGTTAACAATACTAATCTACAGCCTCTTACTAACTTTATTCAAAAGTCCAAGGATAAAATATATTATGTAAATATATATAAGCCCCACTTCTGTTACTTGCAAGAAAATCAAACAATTCCTGCAAGTACAATCCACTATGTTCCTAAGAGGCACAAATGAAACTTTTAATTTTCAGCCTGTGAAGGTCCTTTGTTGGATGTAGGCATTCCCAAGATCATGCCATCTTTTGTCAATCACTGGAAGGAATGATCCACTTACCCTAACACACTGGCATTATATATGTTTTGGTAGGAGCAGATATGACACACATTGTTTCTTGTAAATCATTTGTGTCTTTTTTATAATAATGGCCACCCTGTACAAGGACACTCAAGGTAGAGCGTTACAGAGTAAGAAGTAAGAGGAATAGTTTATGGAGAAGGTAATGGTTAATACTAAACTTGAACAGGCTAAGATTATAGTGAAGCATCCCCTTAGGAGTCAGTTCCACAAAGTAGTGTTTCATGTCTCTTTTTGAAACATCATTGACTGGGCAGATGAATTCTCTCTATTACTTTCTAGAGTAAACTAGTTACCAACCAAGGCTATAGGATCTAGTCTGTCCTGCTATTTAAACCTATAGCTGAAGGTAAAGAGATGGATTCATACCTTTTCCAAGGGTAGTTGTTTGTAAGTGAATGTAATGAACTCAATTGGTTTCTCATACCAAGCCTTTATCAATCACACCACAAGCCTTTATTAATCACACCACAAGCCTTTATCCATCACACCCCAAGCTTACAGCACCTGGTATTCCTAAGTGGTTACTCATCTAGGTACTGTCTAGGCTCAGTGTTTTATAATTTTAGTGATTGGACAACAACCAGTGTTTCAACGTGGTATATCTGTAAGCATAATGCATC